CCAGAGGATTGGATGGGGGCTGCAGTTTTAGCTGGTCTCTGATGGCCTCCCAGGAGAGCTTCTCTTGTGTCCCTTGGCTTGGGCTCTTGTAGCTGATCCTTTTCTCTTGCACCTGCCCCAGCTGGAGGGGAACAGCGGTTGGATGCTAACCTGGGGCTAGCCCAGGTGACACAGTGGCTAGGACATGGGCAATCTGAAAGCATAAATGCATCCACCATCATTACCATGCCTTCAAAGCAAGCTCCATCTGAACTCAGACTGTGTCTGGATGAGAGATTTGTAGCAATGTGCTCATTTTAGCAGCATTTTGTTTTTAGCATTCGTCATAGTGGTCCAGCGCCTAGTTTGGCTGCAATACCACCCGTATACAACAGCCTTCTCTCCATATAATTTATTCCCTTTCCCATACATGATAGATATACCAGAATATGGACCTTCATACCGATACAACTACATCCACACCAGCGGGGGTTGTACCTCCTTGCTCATGCCACTATAAATAGAAGGCTGCATTTTTTTGTGCAGATAAGAGCCAAGGAGCGAGTTGACCAGCCATGAGAAGCACTATGTAGTTTCCTAACATTGGACTTGTTTAGATGAGACCCCAGGTTGTGACCGTGCCGCGTTGCTACTGTTCATCCAAGTAAACTATTCACTGGGGTCCTAGAATGGGGGTGAAGATGAGGTAGGAAATCCAGTTCAGCCTTGAACACAGCCTCTACTCTACGCGGCTCCTTGAGAGCCATCACCCTCGCACTGATACCCGAGGAATGCAAGGACGTCTCAAGGGCATTTTGGGCGGGGTGGCTGGTGCGGTATACAGTAGTGTGTAGCAGTGTGGCGTGTTGAGGACACCGAGCAGAAGGGCAAGCTGTGAAAGGGACGCTGCCAGGTTACAGCTGCTAGACTTGCTAATCTAATTTCTTAGCACTGCTATCATATCAGTGACACCGGAAATTAGTGAGACTGCAGTTAGGGTCAAAATCCAGGAGCCTGCTTTCCCTCCCTGTGCTGGTGTGGGGGTGGTTTGACAGTGACAATTGCTTTGGGTGCCCATCATGCTGGGAGCTTTGTGCTGTTGGGAGGTACAGCCCCTTGCTGCAGCTGGCAGAGCTGCGGAGGGCTGCAGGGCTCCACTGAGAGGCTTTAAGTCTGGTTCATGTCTTCTTGGGCATCTGTTTCTTGTTGCTGACACCTGCGCTTTGGAGTGCAAGCTGGAAATACGGATTCCCCAGCTGGAACCGCTGCGTCTCGCCCTCTTCGGTCATTTTGGACTCGTCCCAATTTGCTGCCTCCTTCTCCTTACAAAAGAGACAGTGAACTCTTTGGAGCTGGGGCCCTCCGTGCTATGTTGTTTGCCTGGAGCCTAGCACAGAAGGGCTCTGGTCCGTATCGGGGACTCCTGGGCTCTGCTCTAATAGAAAGAACATGTTCTCGACATAGTACACATGACTGTGTGGGAATTTCTAGGACTGCAAAGAAAATAAAAATAAAAATAAAGCAGCCAGGCAGGTGAACACCCTGGAAGTGAAAATAAATGGAGTCATATTTAAGCTGTTGTGACAGCAATCCCACTGGGGGCAAAACAGGCCCCGGCCATGTCCCTGCGAGACCTGTACATGGCACATAGTAGATGCCCACTGAACGGGCTTGTTTCCTGAGCACCTTTTATTTTTTTAATTGCTTGCACAGCCAACAAGTGATGATAAGTCAGGCCAGGGTAGCAGCCTTGGAGCACAAATGTAATCTCCCTAATTGGCTTTAGGTGAGCTCATTAATTGGCAGTTAGCAGGTTCCCACCTTCAGTGTCACATTGGTTGGGCGCAGAAAGGGGACAGCTTTGTGGATGAAGGCCCCTGGGGGGGGGGGGGGGT